GACGGCCCCAGCAGTGCTGCCGAAGGTTAGGGGGACCCAGAGGGCACAGGAGGTGGGCAGTGGGACCTGGGCATAGTACCTCCCAAAATAGCAGCACTCTTGTTCCTGATAGGTGACGAAACACTTCTAGGAATCATTTCATAAAATGAACTCCATGACACAAACCTTCCGTAATTTAGACCCAGTATCTCAGAAAAGTTCTGCTTCCTTTCTGTTCAGTTGTGAGCTTGCGTCTGTCCTTCTTAGAGTCAGGCACAGTGGGTTACCGCCAAAGCTCCTCCAAGACTGGCCGGCAGGACCTGTGTTCTGCGTCTCTTGTGTCACCCCAGGAGTTTGTGAGTGCTGGGGACATCATAGGTTCTTCACTCGTGCGGGGGCCAGCTGAGTTACCCCGTCTCTGGTGAGCGAAAGAGCTCCAGGTCCTTCACTGCCCCCCTTAGGACCTGCCTCAGAGCCTCGCTAATTACAACACTGACCCCATGCTACCCGGAGCCTCCCTCTTCACAGTGATGGGAGTCTCTTGGCTCCCAAATATGGCTAACGCGGTAGATTCATCATTCCTCCTTTCTGCTGTGACGGTAGGGTCAGCGATGTGGCTCAGGCAGGTGGAGATCAGCTTTTCTGGCCAACCTGTGACACACTGATGCCTAGGCGTCCTGGCATAGTGCATTGGGTGGTCCAGGGAGCCAGGGCCCACGAATGATGGAGGGACGTGTGGTTCAGAGGCTGGGGTGAAGCACGGTGAGTGCAAACCTGGCACCTGGGGAAGGCAGCGGTGCCAGCTGTGTGCATACAAGTTCTGTTAGGATCCTGAGGGCGGAAGGCAAAAGCCCAGCACAGGAGGACTTCCAGGGCTGTCACTGTTGCAGAGGTGAGAAGCTGCAGGCAGAGGCGCAGTGAGGATTTACAAGAGGTGGCCTGGCAGGAACACATGGCGCACCCGGGGCCTCCCCGAAGCTGCCTGGATACCTTTCTAGCTGCCTGTTAGAGGTGGTCTTCCCCTGGGACAGGTTCCCTGGGACTACGATTCGGTTCATGTTGCTGTCTTTGGGGCCTGAGGGAGTAGAGCTTGGCAGCACTTTGTCACGGTGCTTGGGGTCACAACCAGGCCCTGTGCTTGTCACTACAGCTGTCCCCAGTCCCTCTTGGCTCACAGAACTGGTTCCTGAAGATAACATCTCCTTCTCACCCCCACCCACTTGCCCTTCCTGCCTGTTATGCCAGGGCAGTGGAGGAGGGGCCCGGCTCCCAGGAGCCCCGCGCTGACGCCGTCAGGAATATTGGGTTTAATGAGCTGCAAAATGAGGCGGCTGCAGCTGACATGTACGGATGGTGCCCACACCCGCCTCCCCTCCCAGCCCCCTCCCAGCACCCTGACGCCTCCTTTGCCAGACCCACAGCTCTTCCTTCTGCTGGAAACCCCCTCGCTGGGGTCCAGTACCTGCCTGACAGTGCCAGGGAAGCTAAGACCTCATGTCCCACAGGTGGTTAGGAATGGAGGTTCAAGGGCTCATGCTAGTCACTACCTCCCCACTTACAAACTGTCTGGGGCAGCGTGGCCCTGGGGCCCAGGTGGGCACACTTGGGAAGGAGGATGTTGAGGCGTGTGCTCCCAGGCAAGGGTGCCAACCACTAGCCCTGATGGCATCACCCCCCCCAGAGGCAGAGGAATCCTTCGAGTTCGTGGTGGTGTCCCTCACCGGGCAGACGTGGCACTTTGAGGCCTCCACGGCGGAGGAGCGGGAACTGTGGGTGCAGAGCGTGCAGGCCCAGATCCTCGCCAGCCTGCAGGGCTGCCGCAGCGCCAAAGACAAGGTTGGCACAGGGTGGCCAGGCCTGCCTGGGGCACCAGCTGGGGGGAGGCAGCGGAGGCCTGTGACTGACCACACCTTCTGTCCCGGATATATGGCAGACCCGCCTTGGGAACCAGAATGCAGCTCTGGCCGTGCAGGCTGTCCGCACCGTGCGCGGCAACAGCTTCTGTATTGACTGCGATGCCCCCAGTGAGTACCAGGCTGGTGCACTGGGCCCTGGGCCCTGAGAGGGCTTTGCATGCTTGGGGGGCAGGGAGGAGACTTTCCTGGTGATCCCCATCCCAGTTGCCCTCTTGCCCCATCCTCTGTCCTCTCCTCACCTAGATCCCGACTGGGCCAGCCTGAACCTGGGCTCCCTGATGTGTATCGAATGCTCAGGGATCCACCGCCACCTGGGGGCTCACCTGTCCCGGGTCCGCTCCCTGGACCTGGACGACTGGCCACCCGAGCTGCTGGCTGTGATGACAGCAATGGGCAATGCCCTGGCCAACAGTGTCTGGGAAGGGGCTGTGGATGGCTATGCAAAGCCGGGGCCTGAAGCCTGCAGGTGAGCTGCTGGGGCCAAGAAGGGGGACAGCGGAGACAGTGTTAGAAGGGTTAAAAGTGTCCGTTGCTCTGCTTGCCAGTTGGCCTCTAGGGTGTCCCTCCCCCTCCAGTGCCTGTCACTCAGGCGCCTTGCAACAACAGGCCTTTTCTGAGCCGTTATCAGCAGGTCGGGGGGCCACTGCCAGGCGCATGCGCAGGGCCCCTATCACCATTCCATGCGAAGCCCCAGCCCATACTGCGAGATGGGGAGAATGGGTGGAAGATAGGGTCTCCGTGGCCTCCCACCCAGGCCCCCACCTGCTTTGTCCTAGTGCTGCCAATCGGAGAGAGTTCAGACGGCCAGATAACCCGCCACTCGGGCTGCCTGGAGTCTTCCTGCCCTTGTGGCCCCCACATCCCCACAGTCCCTAGGGGCTTCCTTTCCATGCTCCTGCTTCTCTCTTCCACCATCCTCTTTATATTACCCAAGGTCCCTCTGAATGCCCTGTTGTCTCTTGGGCTTCTCCCTTCTCTGTGCCTTCTCATGCGTCCTCCTGCTGGTTCTCCTCACCCCCAAGCACCTCCCTGGCCTGCTGTGGCCCCAGTGGCTTCCTGGGCTCACGCCCCAACCCACCTGTGCTTGCAGAGAGGAGAAGGAGCACTGGATCCGCGCCAAGTATGAACAGAAGCTCTTCCTGGCCCCACTGCCCAGCTCGGACGTACCACTGGGGCAGCAGCTACTCCGGGCTGTGGTGGAGGATGACCTGCGGCTGCTTGTGATGCTGCTGGCCCACGGGTCCAAGGAGGAGGTGAACGAGACTTACGGCGACGGTGACGGGCGGACAGCCCTGCACCTGTCCAGTGCCATGGCCAATGTGGTCTTCACACAGCTGCTCATCTGGGTGAGTCAGGGGGCCCATCCAGCCGCCTTCTCCCTCCTCTCCCAGAACCGCCCTGCCAACTGTGCCCACCCACTCTCTCCCACAGTATGGTGTGGACGTGAGGAGCCGGGATGCACGGGGCTTGACTCCACTGGCCTACGCCCGCCGTGCTGGCAGCCAGGAGTGCGCAGACATCTTGATCCAGCATGGCTGCCCCGGGGAGGGCTGCAGCCTGGCACCCACCCCCAGCAGAGAGCCCACCAATGGCCCCAGTGCCTCTGCTGAGCTGCACCGCAGCCCCAGCCTCCTATGAGGCCCAGGAAGCGAGCTGGTGGCCCAAAGGACTCCGTGGCCTAGGATCCTCCTCCCTGCTGGTGCTGGGGGAGACAGAGGCACAGAGATGAGAAGCAAGGACATGCACAGAGGGGAGAAAGTCAGAGGGAGCCAAGGAGAGGTCTGAATTCACACCACTGCAGACAGGGAGAATGGCATTCAGTCCTCTGCACTTTGGTGCCATTGAGAAGGGACAGGACACTTTGGAGGTGCCCATGAGGAGAGGGGGGCAGGACCTCTCCCTCCTCCAGACCCCCACCTCCTCATGCCAGCCCTGCAAGCCTTCACCCTGCAATGGGGAAGGGCCAGGCACAGGGTGGGGGTGCTGGATAAAGGGACCAGGGCCCAGCAGGGGTCCCGTGTAAAATTTGTACATTGGAATATTTATGTTTGTGTACATACTTGGTGTGTGTGTACGATGAGCCAATAAAACAGACTGTGTGCGGCCTTGTCTCCCCAGTCTTCTGTACCTCTGCCCTTCTGGGTACACCCCTCATCTCTGCCTCTCTGTCTCAGATCCTTTCATCTCTCCATGAGCCTGGGTCCTGGGTGTTTTCCCTCCCCTTCATTCTGGCCTTTCTTCTTCTTTTTTTTTTTTTTTCCTATTGGTATTTTAAGACAGGTCCCTCTATGTAGTCCAGGCTGACTTGAAACTTAATATGTAGCCCAAGCTGACTTGAAATTTACTATGTAGCCCAAGCTGGCCTCAAACTTCCCAGTGAGCCTCCTGCTTCAGCCTCCCATGCACTGGGATTACAAGAACACACCACGCTCAGCTTTGCAGTCCTCGGCAGGGGTGATGTTGAGGTTCTCCACAGCACAGCACCGTGAACCTGATGGTAGGGGACAGAGCTCTCTGCGCCTTATTCAGTCCTATCTCCCGGTTCATTTCCCCACCTCCAGAAAGCTTCCTAGTTGTCTGCAGTGTCGTCCCTGGGAGCCTCCTGTCATACCTTGTGCTGGACAAAATGCATTCAAGAGAGGGGACAAGCATCACCCTCCCATCTGGGAGGTGTGCAGGGAGAGGCTCGCAGCACACAGAAGAACGACTTAGAGGGCACCACATAATGAGGTGGCAGGCGCAGACCTAGGCTGCTTGAGCGGAGGGGCCGCTGGTGGCAGAAGAGCCACCAGACTCCACCAACTCCAGGCAGGATCCAGAGCCCCGATTTCCTTCCTCACTGTGCCCCTTGGTCATTCATGGAAAACCTGGGGACCCCTCTGTCCTGGTTCCTGAAGGATGAGACCTTACTAAAGTCGGGTCCTGGCTGTCTTGTCAGCCTCAACCTTGGGGCCACTTTGCTGGTGGCTCATGCTTTCTGCAACTCGTGGGCTAAGTGGCAGGTGTGGTAGGTGGTGCTCTGTATGGGACCTGCTTACCTGTAGATAAATAACCAAGGAACACTGTTCAGAGAGGAAACTGATTTTATTTGTCCATGTCCCCTTTTGCAAGGCTATTATTAAAAGCAAAGACAGGGCACAAGTGTGCAGGACTTGGCCCGTGGACTTGGAGAACCCCAGCAATGGTCATCTCAGTCTCCTAATGGCCAACTGTTTGTGCTGTTGAGTCCTGCGGGCCCAGGTTAGGCAGCTGCACAGGAGACAGAGCTACAGAGCCTCTGGTCCAGCCCTGCTGAACGGAGGACAGCACCTGTCATCATCGGCCTCTGCCTGGCTCATCTGGAAAGTGCCTGATCCTGTAGGTGTTGAGTGCAGGACCACGCTGAGGTCAGGACAGCTGAATTCCCAAGCCCTGCTGAAATGCAACTGAGGACCAGAGGTAACCTCCCCTGGACCTGTGAACTCACAGGAAGGTTGTGACATCAGCATTGCTGGTCAGTCATCACTGTGGGCTGCTGTGGCAGGGCAGGGTACCAACACCAGCTGGGAGTAGTGAAGGCCAGGGAGAGGTGATCTCAGTGTCACCCGCTGCTTGAGTGGGTGAGACACTCTAGTTTCACCTTGGGGACTGGGAGTAGCCGGAAGTTGGCCTCTGTGGTGGTGAGGAGGCTGACCAGTTACTTGACCCCGACCCCTGACCTTATTGCCTTAGTTCCTGGGATTCCCTGCCAACTCCATAGCCTGCCTGCCTTCTCAGAGGCCCCATTGTCCACTCCAATTCCCCTCTCTAATGAGTACAGGTCCTTTTCTCTCCCAAGAGGCCCTGTCACCATGATGCCAGCCGCAATGGATTTCTGTGACAGTCCCCACCACCTGCTGTCTGCAGCTGTATCCTCAGAGCCCTGCTCCAGGGGTCAACTTTGTCCACTGACACAGTTGTTTAGTTTTTCAACAGTTCTGATCCCAAAACTCCTATCTGGCTCCTATCTCCATGGTCTTCCCTACCATGCACACCCTCCCACAACCATGGGCTGTGACCCTCTGAATCCACTTGTTCTGTAACAGAAGACACTGGTAGCTGAGCTTTCAAAGCAGTGTAGCAGGGAGGAGAGAGCCATTTAATGCTGGGGAGGTGGAAGCTCTTCAGGAGCTCACAGTGGGCCCAGGGAGCCCCAACCCTGCCCTGCTACTGAGAGGACAAGTGACATAACTACAGTCAAATGAGGGTTACAGATTTCATTTCCCTTTAATACCAATGGGCGTGAGTCTCACCCTAGAGCTGGCTGCCACTCCCAAGGGAAGGCAGAACCAATGGAAGAAGTGAGCCTGTTTACCGGGCACAGGACAGAGTGGGTTGGAGCACAGGGAAGAGGTGTGAGTGGGAACACAGAAGCTGAATGATTTCCACAGAGACTGTACGTCTTTGTACCAGAGAGGCCTGTCAGTGCCCACACCAAAGCAAGAAGAGCTCTGGCCGAGGATGGAGGAAACAGACCTTTCCTGGTCTCTCTCAGGGGTGCAGACAGACAGATGGACAGAGACTGATGGCTCCATATATACAAACTTTACACAAAATAAATAAGGAGCTGTGCTCCGCCTGGCTGGAATTACCCTGGACTCCTCCTTGCCAGAAGCTGTTTGAGGCATCAGTCAGGGACCTTCAGGCCCCAGATGCTCTGTGACCCCACTGTGACCTGCCCCAGGAGTTTGCCATGGTCCCCAGGGCTTGGGCCACCAGAACCCAAGCCCCTGTACCTGAAGCCCCAGTCCTGGAGGTCTCTAGAACAGGCTGGGGCCAAGCATCCACATCTCCAGCCCGGCTGGGTTAGGGGCACAGCTGGCCTCTCGGCTGAGTCCGCCACAACCCTTTGGAACCCAAAGCCAGTGAGTTGGGCACTGGTCCTCCACACTGCATTCCCTGGGCATCAGGGCCGGGCCCCCTGCTCCATTTGTTGGTGCTGGCTGCGCACAGCAAAGCGGTTGACATGCACAGGTATGGGCACGACGATCTTGGGGTTCCTCACGGGTTCCCCAGAGCGGCTGCTCACATTGCCAGCCTTGATGCGCTTCCACTTGGCCCGGCGGTTCTGGAACCAGATCTTGACCTGCACCTCGCTGAGCTTGAGAGCATGGGCGATCTGGGAGCGCTCTGTCAGGCTCAGGTACTTCTTGCAGTGAAACTCCTTCTCCAGCTCCAGGAGCTGCTCGCTGGTGAAGGCTGTGCGGCGCCTCCGGCTCTTCCCCCCGGGTGCCGCCACCCCTGTGGCCACAGGCGCCCCCTCCTCAGCTCCAGTCCCCAAGCTTCCCTTGAGCTTGGGTTTTGGTCCCAGAAGAGCCCCAGGGGCCCCCGCAGAACTGTCCAGGAAACCTTCATCCTCGCTGTCACCACCTGAGCCCTCTTCTTCCTGCTCGCTGCCAGCTACATCACCGGCAGGGGTCTCCAGCTTCTCCTCATCCGAGCTGTACACCTTCCCTTCCGCTGCAGGATTGAAAAACCAAAGCACAGGGAGGGAGAGCAGGAAGCAGGAGGGGTCAGAGGTGGCAGAGCCAGGTGGGGACAGAAAGAGGGTTAGGGAAGACAAAAGAATGGGAAGAAAGGCTTTAACGAGCACAGATTCATTGTGAAGATCAGGGGAGCTGTGGACAGGAACTCCCCTCAGCTCTCTTCCCCACCCACCCCCTTCCCCAGCTTCCTGCAAGTCGGGGGCCAAGGGCTGGGGTCTCCCCATGAGCACCACCTCTAAACCCAGGCCTGCTGTCCCAGGAGGAAGTGGTTGTTCTGCAGGAACCCACATCTGACCCAGCTGCCAGGAGTGTCTCCTGACTTGGGCTCTGGGTCCCTGCCTTTCCCCTGCCACTTGATGTAGGCCTGAAATATTTCCAGATGGGACCTCTGGCCCTGTCCCATCCAAGTCTGAATCTAGGAAGTTCAAAGGACCCAGGAGTCAGATGTTTCCTCACCAGTCTCCTTTGAAATCCCATCCTCTACCCCTGGTGCTGGGGGCTGAACCCAAGACCTCATGCATGTTAGGTAGGCGCTCTACCAGTGAGCTACACCACCAGCTTTTATTTCTTGTTTTGAGACAGGCTCTCCCTATGTAGTCCAGGCTGGCCCCGAACTCACAGTGATCCTCCATCTCAGCCTGCTTAGGGCTGGGATTGCAGGTTGTGCCACTACACCCAACTCCCCTTCCCAGTTCTTAACCAGACCACTTAGCCAGAACAAGAGGTTCCCAGCCACATGCAACCACCTTGTCTGTGGTTAGACTTTCCTCTAGTTACTCAGCCTGGGATGCACTCCCAGTCCTGATCCTCAATTCTAAAATGATGCCATCTCTTCCCCACCTTCCCCTGCCCTGGCTGCCAACCTTAGCAGTGTAGTCAATGGCCTCTGCTCAGGGTTTGGGGCTCGTTGGCTAGAGGGACTGATGGGACCATGAGGGCAGAAGGATGAAGAATCAGAAGTGTAAAGGGAAACAAAATGTTGAAAAAGAAATTTGGGCTCGTTTAGTAGATGACTGATTATTTATAATCACAAGCATCTAAACATTTTAATCCATTCATAATTCTAAATCTTAATTCGACCACTAGTTTCCATCTTATCCACAGATGCACTTATCAGGACTGTAAAAAAATGCATTACAAATGCTTCCAAAGTGGAGTTGCACAAACTCCCTTGTTTTCTGCTCAAAGGAAACAACAGAAAGTCAAGAAGATAGGAAGGAACAAGAGGACAAGCCAGACATGGTAGCACACGTCCGTCATCCCAGCACTTGGGAGGCTGAGGCAGGAGGATCACCTTGAGTTCGTGGGCAGCCTGTATTATAGAGCAAGACCTTGTCTCAAAATAATAACAAAGGAGATGTGGTGTTTGATGTGTGGTCACAGGCTCCTCACTGCTGTGTCCATGCTGGCTTCTGCACCAGGTCACCGAAATGTCTTTAGAGGCAGGATTCTCAGCTGTCTGCTCTCCTTCCAACCTGCTTCCTCCCTGTCCTCGCCCACCTGAGGGCCTCCCTCTCAGGTCCCCACACTACTCCCATGGTTACTTCCTGTGCTTGGCCCCTTCTCTGTGTGCCCAGTGCCTGTGCCTTCAGCGGAAACAGCTTTGGGTCCTCAGCTATCAGCCCAGATGTCTCCCTCCTCCATCCCCGGCCACACCCATTTCCTTCCCCCAAAGATTCCCAGGTGCCCCACTGCTTCCCTGTCTGTTACTGGGAACTCTGATCACCCCGTCTTTAAACCTTTTTTTTAAAAAAAATTGCAACAAGAAGGGAAAAAAATATTGTGACAAGTTCTCACTGTGCTGCTCAGTGTGACCTCAAACTTGTGACCCTTCCGCCTCAGCCTCCTGATTAGTGGGGGTCACAGTTACGTGCCACCACAGCAAGCCCAAACCAAATCTTGATGTCGGTCACCCTTCACTTCTTCTCATGACCACACCAGGTCACCGCAGATCTCTTCTCACAGCTCAGGCCCTGCCCTCACCACCCTTCCCTTTTCCCTTGTCCTAGAGTCCAAGGTCTTCCCTGGGTCCCTTCCCAGCTCATTCCTGGCCTTGCTCAGGTCTTTTCTGTGCAGTGTAGCTGTCCCTCATCCCCTCTTTGTATATGTGCTGCCAAAGTGAGCAACTGTGAGCCCCAATGGTCCCTTCCTCCCTGCTCTGGTTTATCTGCTGCTATGAACACTCCACCCACTTTATTCATTTATTTTACTGGCAATCCTTTCCTGGAACTCAAGCTCCATGAAGATAGGGTTTTACATATATTTTATTCACTGTGCATCCTCGGCATCTTGTAAATGACTTGTACAGACAGGAATGGTGGTGCACGCCTGTCATCACAGCACTCGAGAAGCTGAGGCAGGAGGATCACACTAAGTTCAAGGCCAGCCTGAACTACCTGTTGAGACCCTGACAACTCCTGTGTACATTCTGTCTCCCTCTCATTTGTTTATTTATTTAGGTACTGGGGATTGAACCCAGCGCATTTGTACTGAGGTACACACCCCCAGCCCCTTTTCTTTTTAATTTTTATTTTTGAGACAAGTTCTTGCTAAGTCACTAACCTGCCTGGATGGGGCTTAAACTTAGGCTCTTCCTGCCTCAGCCTCCCAGAGTGCTGAAATTATAGGCATGGACCACCACACCCAGCAGTCTTCCCTCCCCCCTCCATCTCTGTCCCTTTCCCTTCTGAGCCCCTCTTGAGATTTCCCCACACCCAGCCAGCCCTATTGCCCATAGGACACCCCATGAACACAACCGCCCCACTGTTGCACAGGCCTGGGATGCACACACAGAGGAAAGCGCAGGATCTCAGCAACCTCAGGGTGCTGGAGGAAATGAAGGACAGTGTGCCACTACTGTGGTGTGCCACTACTGTTACCGGAAATCGAACTCAGGTCCTTGCACTTGCAAGGCAGGCGGCGGAACCGCTGAGCTAAATCCCTGGCCCACCATGGCTTTAATTTTTAAGACACAATCTTGTAGACAGAACGAAGCACACAAGCTTATGAAACTCATCTCAATAGTACAATATTTTAAACAGTGCTTAAAGGCAGAAACTGGATTTCAGGGCTTGGAGGATAAAACCACTTACTACGGTGCCAGGTCCTCAGGGGTGGCCAATAAATCTAAGCTGACGATGACTGAGCTGGGGTCCCCACTCTGGATTCAGCGGCGCCCCAGACCCCTCATCCATCGCTGTCTGTGACAGATTGGAGATGCCGCCCTCTGCTGCTCAGAGCCTCACGGCGGCAGCACCACGAGGGCCACACCAGCCCAGGCTTCTTATCCAGGGGGCACTGGAGCGGCAGGTGACGGCTTCCAGGCCTCGGGGGGCAGGTGTGGGACCACAAGGGAGACCTGGACGAGGACGAGTGGGAAGAGGACAGGCTGGACAGGCAGAGACAGGCCTGAAGCTGGGCCTCAGCGGTGGAGAAGGGGCAGAAGAAGGAAGCTGAGCGGGACAAAGGGAAGGAGCTGACACTTTACAAGAAAGGAAATAGAAAATAGATGGAGGAAGGGCCAGGGATTTAGCTCAGCGGTGCAAGGTCCTGAGCACCATCCCCAGTACCAAAAAAAGAAAAGAGGTAGAGGTAATTGGGAAAAAACAAAAGGCACTTTAAAAAAAATACTCCTATAGCCCAGCATGGTAGTGCACACCTGTAATCCCAGCACTTTGGGAGGCTAAGGCAGGAGGTCCACATGAGTATGAGGCCACCCTGTCTCAACCACCCTGCCCCCATATTGATGCAGGCAGAGCCAAGCCAGGCACTTCCCGAAAGTCAGTGGCTCTTTGCTGCCCCAGCAGGGGGCTCATCGAGGACCCAAAGCTGAAGCAGGGAGGGAGACAAGGGACAGAGGACATCTCGACTTCCCAGGAAGGGCTAATGAACTAAGGGAGAGCCTCCCCCACAAGCCCAATGGCCTGTTTCCCCCTGAATTCCAGGAGAGCAAATCACAACCTATTTTCTCTGAGCTGATTTACAGTATTAACAAGACAAATAATGAAACAAAAATTGTCCTTAAAATTTTGTTACTGACTAGAAACTGACAGAAGCAACAACCTTTTGGATAAAATTTCTATTTGCAAAATCTGATCTGGAGTAATTGGACTCTGTAGTGAGAATACCTATAAGAGCAAATTTCCAACAGCAGATGCTGTTGTTGGTTAATAAGAACAAAAATACTGATGGGCAAAAGACTTCATTGAAAAATTTACATGAGAAATATTGATTCTAATGAGCGTGCCTTTGGCAAAATGAAAATGTTTCCAGTTGAAAACAATTTGGTTGTGGCAGATAGCCAGAAAGGTCCTGCCCATTGTGTGTGGGAATGGTGTTACCCATACTGCGAAGAATATGCTGCTACCTGGGCCTGGTGGCAGTCACCTGTAATCCCAGCCCTTGGGAGGCTGAGGCAGGAGGATCACTGTGAGATTAGGTCCAACCTGGCCACATGGTGAGTTCAAGTCTAGTCTGGAATAAACAAGGCCCTGTCTCAAAAAAAAAAAAAAAAAAAATGGGCATGGTAGCACACCCTGAAATCCCAGCACTTGGGAGGCTGATACAGGAGGATCACTGTGAGATTAGGTCCAACCTGGCCACATGGTGAGTTCAAGTCTAGTCTGGAATAAACAAGGCCCTGTCTCAAAAAAAAAAAAAAAATGGGCATGGGAGCACACCCTGAAATCCCAGCACTTGGGAGGCTGATACAGGAGGATCACTGTGAGATTAGGTCCAACCTGGCCACATGGTGAGTTCAAGTCTAGTCTGGAATAAACAAGGCCCTGTCTCAATAAAAAAAAAAAAAAAAAAAATGGGCATGGTAGCACACCCTGAAATCCCAGCACTTGGGAGGCTGATACAGGAGGATCACTGTGAGTTTGAGGCCAGCCTGGGCTACATAGTGAGACTTTGTCTCAAACCCCCCCAAAAAGGAGGGGGCCCACAATTCATCCTCCAAAAAGATTATAGTTG